ATAAATAAATAAATAAATAAATAAATAAATTTTCAAATTGCAGTGGTCTTGCAGCTGGAGAAGACAATGGACAAAGAGGCTATATGCTGACATTTATCATTGCTTACCTTAGGGTAAGTTTATCCTACTTTTTGAACAATATATAGATGTATAATTTTCCATTGTGTATTATGTTGCCATGAGATAAAGCAAGAAAAAGCTATGGACTGATTTTGTTCAGAAATGCACCCATATTCCAGTGGTTCAGAACTCCTGGAGATACATATGAGCATATGCTATTAAAATGTCCGTTGTACTCCCAATGGTGATCAAACTTCCAATTGTTAACAACTTTAATTGCCATTGTGACCAAGGGACCATTACCCTTCTTTTGAGTGACCACGTTTCAGAAACCTCTATGAAGGTTGAAAATTTTCTATTAATAGCAATAGCTCTTAGAAGCCATCTGGTTCCTCCCTCATGCTATTAATTGTTTGCTGTTAATTGTCTCATGATTTTCTTGCAGTTTTTATTCTTTTACTATATCTATTGTATGATTGGTCTTTTTCTTGTGTTCAATTCAACTTCCATGAATATTGTACCTCAAAGTTCAAAGTTTGTTTATTTATAGTCTAAAACCAAACCTTGAACTTTGAGGTATAATATTCATGGAAATTGAATTGCTTTGCTTCTTTTTTGGTTTTTGTGCTTTACAAAAATTGTATAGTTTTACAATTTTGCCTATAAGTTATACATTGAGTCCATGATACATGATACACACAGATTTGATAGGACAGGAAATTGGAATTAAGTTTCAGATACATTTTTCCCTACTCGTAAACGGATTGAGCTTAATCATCTAATTAGATAATAAATGCAGATCTGTAGTCACAATATTACCTTAACTATTTTCAATTGCATAATAATACATAGTAAACATATGAGTCTAAGATGGAATTCTAATCTAAGACTTTTCTGGTTTCTTGAATAGGACTTTGGCATGGATTATTATTTAATAGGAGAATCATTTGAAACATCTGTTCCTTGGGATAGGTAAAATCAAAAAAATTTCTATTCAGTAAAAAAACCCCCCTCATTTTTAGGTCTTTTTTCTGGAAAATTTGCTAGAAAGTGATGGTTTGAGATTGTAATGGTGTAAATGTTTTGTAAAATATAAAGATAGGTTGTTTCTGGAATAGTAGGGAGAATTGCATTATTTGATAGTTCATGCGAAACTTATTTTAGTAATAAAAATTACATTGGAGATTCTTGATGAAGTAAGCAAAGCTATTCAGTTGAGTCCTAACTTCCCCATTCTCCAACAAAGAACAGCTTCTCTCCACAGACAGTTTTTGAGCCAATGGAAGATCCTGTTATTTGAAAAAGAGAACAACGGTAATCTCTCTGATGATGCCCTAATCAGCATAAGCAAAGTTTAGTATGAATTTAATTTAAGAATAAATTGCAAAAATGAAACATAGTACCCAACAGCTCAAACTTTTAGCTGATGAATTAAATGGCTATCTGTATTGATACCATCTCCTAAAAACCATCTGAATTTAGTCCTGTAATTGGTCTTGCAATTCTGAGAGACTATTAAGTTGGAAATGCTCATCTTCACATTTGTAAATGTTGTTATGACATTGTCATTTTCCAAACAAAATCTTATTTTCCATGATTTCCAAGATAATATAAATTGGTAAGATGAGGCTTTAATGTATAGGAGACTGCTCTAAAACAATGTATACCTAATTCAGACCTTTTTGATAGGTGGTTTTCAAGTACCAGGTATAGAACCATTATGTACATTTAGCCTTTACAATTAATGTAATCAAATTTGTAACCTTTGCTTAGTCATCTGATTGTCTTTACCACGTTCAGAGGAATCTGTAGAGCCAATGTGATTTGTCTGTTGTAGGTTTTGTGGAGAATGGGACAATGCCTGTTTTGATTTATTGAATAAACATTAAAGTGACATTTTTGGAGGAAAAAAACCCGAGAAGCAGAACTGTCCATCTAGCTCTTAGGTTTAGGAAGCTTTAATCAAGGAAAAATTGTAACAAAGGTGAAATGTCTAAATACAATCTCAGTTTCTATTAAATATTGGTTAATAATTCTTTTGTGGCATTTTGTGCTTTTAAGAACCAAGCAGAATTGTAGGCACAGGCACATCTTGATCCAGAATTAATCCTTGATTTAGCGTAGGTTGCAATAAATCAATTCTTAAATAGGTTACAAAATATTACAAAATGTTACTGATAAATGTGTTAATCATTTTTGCTTTTTTAACTTTTGCATTATTTTATCTTTAGGACTGTTGATCTGTGCAAAAATGTAAAGGAAAGAATAGCAAGAGAATGCAAAGAAAAAGGTGTTCAGTTTCCACCATTTGCTACCTGTCGGTAAAGCATCTTATAAATTAAGTTCTAAAGTGGGGTGGGTACCCTATAGATTATATGTAGGCCTATAATGTGACTTTTGTGGCCCCCAGAATCCCTTAAAATCATGTCACCATAATTTTGCACCAAAAACCTAATTCTCCACAGCTTTATTTATTTATCTGGTGACCAGTTTTTGTAAAATGGCTTAACTTGCCTTCTTGCATCAGCTGAATCTCCTAATTGCTACAAAGAAAGCTAAATAAAGAAATAAGCATTTATCCTGTTTAGAATCACCACAGTTTACTCTATCATCCAGAATGTAAAGTGAACTTAATCTAAATCATCACTAGTTGAAACAAGTCAGCTTTGTAAGATACGGTTTGACCTTTGCTTTTCTCTGCTGATCAGAGTGAAATTTAAACCATAGTTTGTTCAGCTTCAGCAACATTGTTACCCATATAATGGTGGTAAAAGCTCATGAACTCTTTACAGAGGAGGAAAGAGGGAGTGGAGTGGAAGGTGGAATTCAATGCAAATTGTGGTCAGAAGCTAAGGTACTAGTTTGAGTTAGCTCCAACCCAGACTTATAAGTACAGCTAAAACTAAAATTCAAGAACATATGATAACACAAGTCAAGAATTTTAGTTATGTGGGCATTTTCTTTAACCATGGCCTTGCTTCAGTGTTTTTATTCAAAAAGGGGAATACTTGTTCCTGCAGCAATATAGGTTTTTAATGCAAAATTTTATATGGAGCTCCAATTTGGATTACAGTTGTCAATATTAACATAGCCCAACTGCAGATGAAATGTTTAAGATCTCTTTTAAATCTTCCAAGTTGTGTCCCAAATGCTGTTCTCTTGGAAACTGGATAATACCCTTGAAAACAAAGGCTTGGCTAAGTACTATTAAATTTTAGTTGCCAATGTACGTTTTTAAAAGCAAGGAAGGTTTACTTTATGAAATCCCAAATGATAATTTTGTGGATGTGTGGCTTAAACAAATGGCCCAACAATTTAGTCGGATTGGCATTGTTCTTGATTATTTGTTTCCAAGGGTATGACATCATCATGTTAAACAAAGATTATGGGATAATTCAGTACAGGAAAAAGCCAAAGTTTTGTGTTCACCTGTGATTTTTGGAATAAATAACAAATACAGTTTTTAGCTCCCTATATATCTTAACAGTTTACATTTAAGTAAATACAAAATAGTCTTTTCAAAAGCCAGATTAAATATGTTGCCATCAAATATGCTATATGGTAGATTTTGAAAGATCCCCATCTCTCAATGATTTTATCCCTATGATAGTATTGATCTAGAAACAGTGGATCACATTTTATTGTGGATTTTTGGTAAGAAATTATCTGGCCTGTTTTAAAATCGACCAGGAAGAGATATTTCTGAGTATGTTAAAATTTTGTTCACAAATAAAAATCCTAAAATTACAGGGGCAACAGCCAAAATTTTTACTATGGCTATAAAAACGAGGTCTTATCTAATGCCAAATATCAGATTATATTTGTTCTTTGGTATTTGGGGCTTTTGGCTGTAAATAAAACTTAATAACCCAGACCTATAATAAGAGAAAAGGGAATATTTGAGTTTAACTCTTGTTCTGGTTCACACATTATATTCAACTAAAGTGACACAAACTTGTTTCCAGTATTTCCAGCAGCACAACTTTAGTATATTTAAATTCTAAGTAGACATTCCCAATACACAACCAATGTAAAATCTGGAACAATTTTACTAGGTTAGAAAAAAGAGAGCAAAAGAAAAATAGCAGAATGTCTGCTTCAGAAGTATCAAGTTTGTGTCACTTGATTTGTCAAGTACATTCAGAGAAGATTGTTTTATTCTATCACTGTATCTTCTCTTTTTAAACTGGACTTTGTGTGTAAGAATACTAGGTTATTTTAAATCTGACATACCTTTTTTCAAATAAAACAGAGTGACACAGATGTATGATTCCGGTGCATGTGTCTATTTCTATCTGGGCTTTAACTACAGAGGAATTAGTGACCCTGTTCGGGTTTATGAAGAAATAGAGGTAATTCTACATATTTAATAGCTTAAATGTCTAGATAAAGTTTATATTTAACTGTTGCCTAAACCCAAAGTTAAAGGTGAAACTGGCTGTGTGATAGTTGTTGAAAACGATGTTTGTGTGAGTGGAGTTTTGTGAAACCATCGAATAAAGGTGTGAAAAGGGTTTTCACATGCTAATGGACTAAGATTGGCTCCAAGAGCTGAAGACCTGGGGGAAAAGGAAATGTTTACAGAGCTAAGAAATACTTAAAATAGGAAAACATAGTGCTACAAAACATAGAGGAACATAGACAGAGATAGAAATTTATACATTAAATAAGATAGAAATAGTTAACTTATAGTAATAGGAAGTTGGTAGAATAAGTTAGGTAGGAAAATAGAAACAAGCATAGAATTAGCATTAAGTTTAGAAGTAAGGAATAGAAGTTTAAGTTTGTACAATAAAACAGTTTTGTGTGGGAAAAACAAATACAGTCTTTGTGTCTGTGTTCCATACCATATTAAGGAAAACCCTAACAAATAAGCACACTGAGAGTTTATGAAAAATATTTTGTGGGAATCACAACGAGATCTCTCTTTGGCTATGTAAGTAATTATGAAGTGTTTTTTTTTTGAGTTGACCTCAACTTTGGCCATTATGTGGACACATCCATGTTTTCTTCTCAACAATACAGAAGTGGCCCCCAATGGGGATATGCAGCACTTCAGATCCAAGGATGAAAAGATGTTTCAGAGCAAATATGGCATACCTTTTGGCACCTTCTTAAAAAATTGTGTCTTTTTCTGAGCTCACACAGGAGCCAGAAGATCCCAGGCAGAAATGTATTTGATTTAAGGAGATGTTGACAATACTTTTTATGACCTGTTGGCAACCATCTGGTTCATCAACCTAGAATTGACTGGGGGTTCTCCCATCCAAGTTCTTACCAGGTTGAACCCTCCTTAGTTTTTTTCAAGTTCTAACACATGGCCCTTTTTTTCCTGGTCTCTATTACTCCCCACCCCCACCCCCCACAATTCAGTACATGAATTTTGGTTACACACAAAACAGGATATTTGCAGGAATGTAACAGAGTTTCACTTATCAGCAGGTTTGAGAATTGGATGGAGTAAGAGTCATGACAAGTATGTGCTAACATTTGCTATTTAATTGCCTATTTATTTACAGTTTAGACACATATTGCAAGTAAAACTATATTTACATAGAACTTCAGAATGAAAATGCTTTGAAAGGAGTTGTATTGTTTTCATTTTTATCAAGGGCTTTTAAAAACATTTTGGAAATACCTCTCTCAATAGGTAAACTGCAGATAAAACACTGTCCTGCATTATGTCCCATAATGCAGACCCCTCCCCCTTCATTTATATTACACAAATGCTGGTGAATGAGTGAAACATACTGTCTTGCCTGCTTCAACAGCTGAATAATTTAAACTACTTTATTTCTTTTAGACAGCAGCTAGAGAAGAAATCCTTGCTAATGGGGGAAGTTTGTCACATCATCATGGAGGTATTGTTACAGATCTTACTTTTAGCTACTCACATTGTAGTAGGGAGTTTTGATTCATATATATAAAAAAGAAGAGAAAATGCTCCTGCAAATTATAGACCAGTTAGGCTGTGATTAGTAGGGGTAAGATTAAGATAAATTTAATACTAAACTAGGAGATTTTAATTTTTAGGTTAAATTTTAATTTTTTTTTTCTTTATATATTTTTTTTGTCAGCCACTAACAGAATGGACGATATATACACAAGCTTTTATTTGTGATATGTTAATAAAATGTTGTTTCTATGATTTCTGGTCAAATGATTAGTGACAACAAATCAGTCTATAAACTGTTCCATGTCAGTTTTGAATATTTTGAGCCATATGTCCATTATGTCCAGATTCTGCATGTCTTTAAAATAATGGAAAATATTTTCTTTCACTGCTTTCTCTAAAATTATATATTTTGAGTCAAGAACTACATTGTAAAATTGGGAAAAGTGAACAGGCTGAAAGAAAATTGTGAGCTGTTTTATAAATTAGTCCAGTTAGCCTGACTTATTTGATTAAAAATGTGAATCATACAAAACGCTTCCTATTCCTGTTTTGAAGAATTCCTGTTTGTAGATAATATTAATCATACTTAGTACCATTTGGCCTATGTACCTACCTATCTCCAGCCACAATCCAGAGACTCTTGGTGGCTATCTTGCACTACGATAATGGGGAATATTTTCCAAAGCGCTTATTACATTTACCCAATAGGAAGATTCATTTTTCATTGGGGGTAGTCATATTTGCTGATAATAGATGTCATTATTGAAAACGGAGTACGAGATGCTAATAATTAAAGCAAGTGGGAGCAGATATTGCTGCTGAAAGCTTGAGTGCCTTTGAAAATTAGACTAGCCAGCCCAGCTGGGGAAAGGTGGGGGGAGTCAAAATGACTTTTAATATCTGTTCAGGGCTATGGAGGCTCTCCATTGCACACACTCAACTGCTGGATGTAGAGAGGAACAAGAGGAGAAAGAAAAAGAAACAGCTCAGTGCCCCAAGAATTGCTCCCCAGTTTTAGCCTCAACTTTTATGGAGTTGGCTGGGCTAAACAGAAGAATTCCCAGCATAGCAGGAGTTTATGCATACTGGCCTGAAAGTTAAAGCTACTGAATTCAGTGAGGCTTACTATATAGTAATATATAGATTTTATTCTTGCTGAGCTCAGATTTCCAATTTTTTCTTCTCTGATTATGTATGTGTGGAAAAAAGTAATTTGTATGTATGTATACAGATGAATAATTCATTTATTTTACAAATGCAGAAGCTTGTTTTACAAGCAATTAAATTTTAGCCAGAAGTTGTTACTTGAATTTTTTTCCTCCTAACCCTAAACATTTTTTTGAAATGTGGCTTCTGGTAAATGCATATAGACACCTCCAGATATGTAAGAGAGTCCCATGTGCACATTTTTCGGGGGAGAAATAATCCAGGATTGGTTTAAGTGGAAGTTAGCAACCCTAGCTGACAAAGAATGGAAGCTGGGACTGTAGAGGAATTTTATGTATGTTTATAACTTTTTTTTATTTCTCATCTTTGTTTCGGTAGGATCATCTTAAATTCAGAATCATCAGAGACAAACTCTGCCAAGCATAGTTTTTCCAGAAAACCTCTAATTTGTCTGGTAGACAACTCTTATTTAGAGAGTAGAAAAAGGCATAACAAGATTTAGTTGAGGAAGTGAAAGTAGCTGGAACATTGGGGGGAAAATGGATCATATAATGCTGGAATTCTTGATTTCAAAGGGAACTAAAACTTAGAATTTATGTGATCACTAAGTGTTGATACCAACTTAATCAAAGTCTTGAACTCTGAAAAACAGATTTTTTATAAACTCAGAGCAATGATAAATAGAATCCTATGGCAGGAGAATTTAATGGGAAAAGGAACTCAAGAGTTCCTAAAAGCAGAAGAAAATACAATCCCAGTGAGAAGAAAAATGGAGGACAGCAAAGAAGCCAGCTTGGCTACACAAAAGTTTAGTGAAAATCTGAAGACAAAATGACATGCAGAAAATGGAAAAGGGGTCAGGTCAAAAAGGAAAGGTACAGACTGATAGCCCAGAACTGTAGAGCTTCTGTCAGGAGAGTGAAAGGTCAAATGGAGCTGAGTTAGCAAAGGATGCTAAGAATAACAAATGGGCTTAAGATGTATTCAGTAGAAAAAGAAAAGAAAGAAGCAAATTGGTGTAACATCTGCTCACTAAAATAAGGCAAAATGCCAACAGATAACAAAGAAAAGACAGAGCATTTCAACTTCTATTTTGCTTCAGTCTTGCCCAACACAAAATGATGAAAAGATAGGAAATTAAGAAGGGGCAAGATTAAAGATTGAAATTGCTAGAAATATCCCTACTTTGAATGACTTGAAATCTTTAGAGCTACTTGCATTGCATTCTAGAATAGTGAACAATCTAGCTAATGGTCTGGCTTATGTATTACCTTTAAGGAATCCTGAAGAAATGTTAAGTGCCAAAAGATTAGAGGAGAACAATCAAAACATAAGATTTATATTAGTGACCACTCAGTCTGCCATCAATAGCTGGGAAAATTGTAGCAGAGATCATAAAAGAGACCTCTTTTTTAACACCTTAAAACAATGCAGTAGTTAACAAAAGTCAGTATGAATTTGTCTAGATTAAATCTTGCCAGACTGATCTTACCATATTTTTTATCAGGTATTTCTTTAATAGTGTGAATGCTGTAATGTGAATACCTTGACAGAATACTCTATGACAACCTGATTAGCAAGCTAGTTAAATATGGATGGCATGACATTTAAGTGGTTACATAACTGGCTCAAAAACCATATTTAAAGAACGTTCATCAGTTGGAGAGAAGTATTAAGTGGGTGCCACACGAATCTATCATGGATCCTCTAATCTTCAATACTTTCATTAATGGTTTGGAAAAAGAGGTGAAGGAAATGCTTATTGAATTTGCAGATAATACAAAATTGGGTGGGGTAGCTAATATTTTGCACTAAGGAAAAAAGAGCTCAAGACACCAAAAAAGAAAATGAAGGGATAGACTATGTAGTTCCAAATACTAAAGCAAGATGCAGTTGTCATTTTAGAACAGCACTATTTCCAGCTTTGGCAAAGTCAGTACAGTCAGTCCAAGAACTTCTTTGCTCACCTCCATCGTTTATCTTTTCTCAATACCCATGTTGGACATGATACAGTGTGCCTTAGATCATCATTCCTATGTGTAGATCATTGGGTCCAAGATGGAAAGAAAGACTGTGGCCCAGAGATAACACCAAAGTCTTTCCATTTATCTTAGGAGTAGTTATAAGCCATTCAAGCATCTTATTCACAGTCCCAATGGTATAGGCAGAATTGACAGCAACTGATAGTTTTCAACCCAGCATAATCATTGGCCTGACCATTTCTACTGTCCCTTCAACTGTTTGGGTCAAATATACTCTTGCCCTGTTATTGGCATTAGCATGCACTCTTTTTGCTTAGAAATGACCACAACAGTATTCATAGAACTAATATTGGACTTGAAACAATATTAGTAGGATTCTTCCTTCCAATGTTCAGATGGGATCCTCAGCCGTGCTGTTGTTTTGAAAGAAGGTGGTTTTGGAGCAGATTAATCATCTGGCCCAGTCTCTTGCTTTGAAGTCCAGCAACTTTCACCCTAATTAAAGTTTCAGTTTTCAATCACTGCAGTTCTGATTCCTCCATCCTGTGGGCTACGCTGATATTTGAATCTCTTTTACAGTATGCTATGTGGCTCACAATTCTGTACTAATAATTCATGCCATATTTAATGGATTTCATTTACAGGTTTAGCAGTCTGCTGTGGCTTTAACTCATTTTTCATGTATAAGATGGGTTTCTATTTTCTCTAAAATCTGGAAGACTCACCATTTCTTCCATAGCTATATATCTGACAGCAGTTTTTTATTCCTCTGTTGAAAATTCCTCAGTATTCTCCCACTTATGCGTCACTGATCTAAGAAAACGCCTTAATCTGAACCCCACCACGTCCCCCCAATGCACTTGGCCTATACCTTTGTGGAGCTTTTTCTGTGATTCTGGGAGAATCTTTCAAGCCACTTGTCGCATGCTCCCATAAGCTGCTAATCTGAACATCTCTATTTCTAATTGCTGCCAGTGGCTGGTGAGCTTTAAGCCCATATCTTCCAATGCATAGAAATAAAGTGATCATCTGCCCAGGTATATCAGTGATTAACTTACCTGGTTTCTCCTCAAAGCTGTTGTTGCTCCTGAAAGTGTTTCATTGTTTCCTTAATGGATGCAAGCCCCTTGTCTTCTACCTGGATTAAAATAATCTCTTTTCAAGATAAGCAGGTTTTTGTTGTAATGGCCAGATGCACCTTGTTTTTCTCAGTGCATTTTAAAATGATGTCTTCAATCCACATATCTTGTTTTTTTATATCATTTTTGTTTGCTCCAAATCCCATCATGGTACATTCTACCAGGTGGTAGCTTTTGCTGCTGCATCTCTCCGAGGTGTCTCTTTCCTGGATCTGTGCTGTGCTTGATATCCATGCAAAGGGCAGTGCATCTTTGGTCATGCAGTTCCTCTGCACTAAGATCCCTCTTCCGGGTAAACATATCTGAAGATTGTAAGATGACAAAAGAGGATAGATTGTCAGCCTCTTAATGCACACTCTGTTTCTCATGCCACTGGCAGTGGTTGCTGTTTCCTTTTCGTTTTGAATATTCTCCTTTGTATTGTCTTGGGAACTGAACAAGAAAAGCAGGAGCCATGGCCTGCACAGTTCTAGCTTAAATGCTCAGTTCTAGAGTATTCCACTCATTTGTGCAGGTATAAAATATATGTGAAAGCACAGGTTCCTATCTAAAGAAGAGCAATTTATTTGTTGGATTTCTCCCCCACCCATCTCCCCCACAATAGGGGACTCTGGGTGACTTACAAAAAAACATTAAAACTATAACTATATATAAAACACATAATACATCCAGAATTAAAGGTGAATGAAATGCCTCTATAAGGATGTAGGTCAGGAGTACGTTGAAACCATGCTCTGAGTCTGCATTGATTTGGTAATGTTTCTGGATGAATGGTGTCTCAGGATTTGTTATGGACTGGCTATTGGAAACCTTCCCACGAATCTGAAATGTCTCCTGGGCAGAAGGAAGTGCGAAGTGAGCTACTGGAACCAATGATTTGTGGCTGCGACATTGAAGTCGGCATCCATGGGAATGCCTGTATTGGCCTTGGCCTAGCACACAGTGGCCAGTAGGCAGAATCAAAGGAAACGTCTGCAATATACCTGGAGAACAGGGCAGAGTAGGCAATTTAATATCCTACAGATGGCTTGGGCTTTCATTCCTCTCAGTCCTGACTGGCTGAAAGACCATGGTACCATATCTGCAGAGTACTAGGTTGCCCGTCCCTGAGTTATGCTAAATGAATATGGTATTTAAGCAGAAATTTAGCAGCTAGTGATGGCTGTAGTAATACTTGCTATAAACTCATGTTCTTTTTATGTTTCTTGTCTGTTCTAAAGCCAGTGATATGATTGGAGAAATTAACAAAATTGAACAAAAGGATGTTGCATGTAATACAGTTGCAGGAGCTAAACATGTGCAATTTTGTTTGACCAAGGAATTATGCCTTCTTTGTATTTTCTTGGAGTCTGGTATTGGTACATGGCTCCCTCGCAGAGCACACAAGCAAGCTTTGCATTTTTTTCTCTTTTGCAAAAAGGCATTTCTGTGGTAGTTCTATCAAATATCATGTGTTAAATTCCCACAGTGACTTTTAATGCTTATTCTGAGCTGGAATTTATTATTTGGGATTAAACTGGTAATATCCTTGTTTATTATTATTTACTGACCTTCAGGCCTTACCATGACATTCTTAGTGTTTCTTTTTGTTCCTGTATGTGGAAGGGAGAATATTGATGCAATCCCTCTTCAGTGTTTGCCCTATAATTGTGATTAATAACAGTTGCTTTCACCATCCTGAAACAGACAGCCTGGTTTGTCTGCTTACCACAATCATGTTGTGATAAATGGAGCTATTTTAACTCTGGTTTTGTGTATCAAACAAAACAGATGTAGTCTGGGACTTCAGGCTATAAGGAATATAAAGCATGTTTAACTTAATCTTCATAGTACTTACTGTTTTTATAGAAAGAACTAGACAGCTTATACTAGCGAATGTTCACTGTTAACAGCCCCTTTCCTGGAAAAAAAGTGAAGAATAAAATCTTGAGAAATTTGACTCACGTGAAATAGCTGCCCTTTGCAAATAACTTTGTTACCTTTCCTCTCATAATTTATTTTGAGGATAGATGTATCATTTAATGTTAGCTAAGGATAATTTGAAGCCAGAAAAAAGAAACATTTCCAGTCCACTGGGGAGCATTGCATTTTGACGACAAAATTTGCTGGGACATTAGAAGACCTCTCTAACTTCTCTTGAATTCCCTTCCATTATGGTCACTTTCCAAATGTCAATAATACTGGAAATGCAGAGAAGAAATTATGAGAAGTCCAAATTTTGCACTGATAAGCCTACTCAGTATCGATGGGCTGGACAGTGTTGCCATTTGCTTGCATATATATGTATATATATATAATAGTGCAGTTGTTAACACACATATTAGTGCTGTCCATATTATTTAAAATTAACAGCCCACTATCATATGGCAAATGTGGTATAATAAGTATCTCGAGGAGATACAGTAACATCCTTGAGCCTAGATTAATAACATAATCACTTGAAATGAAAATTAATAAGTAATAAAAAGGCTTTCAAAACTCTGCCAGGTTCTTAAATACTGTCTCCAACAACATTCAAGATAGCTTAATCTTTCACTGTTTCTGTTGAATAAAAATGGTTTGATTGATTCATTTAGCAGTTATCAGCTAAGCAATATTTTTACGCGTTTATTGAAGAAACGTTCATGAATATTCACTTGTATTTTCAAGGTCTTGAGTAAATTGTTATGCAGCTTTGTCACTGAAGCAAATCCACTAAAGTTATTAAAAAGCTGGCTGGATGAATGGGTAAAAGCAAGCGTTTGCAGTAGCTGAGAAATTAAAGTACTGCACAATAAAATAATGCATCTTAGGCCTTTCACTAGGTCTAAAAAGGTCTTAATTACAATGAATTAGGCTAAATAAAAGCAGTTTCCGCAAGATTAAAGCAGAACTGGATTAAAGATCCACAATAAGAGCCCATCTATAGTTGTTACATATGTATGCCTGTTACATATGTACATCAGTGACTGTAACAGATAATTTGGATATTTAAAAACAAGCATTATATTACACACCATGGAGAACAGGTAAAGCAGGCTGCACCTTTTACTGGATGATACTCTAACTTATGGATTCATGCAGTCAGATGGTGCATCTGATATTTTATCTACGGAATGGTTCTGTATTTTCCAAGCAAAATAAAATTATCTCCTTTTAAATGAAACCTTGACTTGTCATACTTGCAAAAACAACGTTAGGCATTTAACACAGAGATACTGATGTTCAAGGTTGGCAACTTTATGCTACAAATGGGTTAATTTCTTTATCAAATACGTTCATAAAAGACCACCGGTGTCCGCCACACAGCTTTCTTACTTTCCGGTTCGCTAATCAAATGTATGTTAGATTTATTATTGTAAAAGTATAGAGCATAGAAAGTGTGACAAGATAGATGTGTAAATTATCACACTGACAGAACTAATGATGCAGTCCAAGCACCTTCTGTTTTCCAGCACTCGGTGAGCAACTTCATTAAATATGCAGCGGCTGTTTGGTGGCTGCTCAGACATCGGTTCAGTCCCTCATGGAATCGCATTATTGGGGAGGTGGGGAGAGGACAGGCCTGCTGGCTGTTGGACATCCTGCTGTGGCTTTAATGCACTCCAGCTTGTTGGACCAGTTGTTTTCAGTCTTTCTTGGACAATTACATCTATATCCACAGGATACATTTGCTTAAACAATATTACAGATGACGGAGTATAACAGCGTAGACTATTTATTGTCTCTTTAGCTCTGGTTGGTACGTAGGTGGCTGGAGCTGAGAATGCGCTACGATCCTTGGCATTTCAGTATCACCAATATGTATCTTCCTGTGTTTGGTCAGCCTTGCAGTCTTTTCAGTGAGCTTGGTGACAGGCTTGTGTTTGGCAGAGGAGAGAAACAAAAACGCTCTTCTCGGCTGGTGTCCACATGATTCATTATCCCCGAGGCAATTTAACCAGCTGCCCCAAGCCTGGGACATCCTAGGTTTGGTTGGGGTGAGCGAGGCGCCTGAATGCAGCAAAGACAAGAGGCAACTTAGTCCCTCGTACAAATACATCAACCTTTTGGCTTATACTCACACTGTATTCAGCACCTGCTTTAATTTATTCAGCAAAGAATTAAATGCTTTTATAATAGTTGTTTAATGATAGAGCTAACTACATATATTTAAAAGATCTGTACTTTTATGACTGTGCTATAAACTGTCGTTGACGTTTGTATTTATATTTTTAATTTTCTAAGTTGCATAAGAGAGTCAGCTTGGTGTGGTAGTTAAAGGCACTAGGCTAGAAATTGGAAGACTGTGAGTTCTAGTCCTCCCTTGAGCATGAAGCCAGCTGGGTGAAGTCAGCTCTATGAAGAAAGTAAGGGCAAGCCGCTTCCAAAAATGTTGCCAAGAAACCTGTAGGGACTTGTCTAGGCAGCCACCAGAAGTGGAGACTGGCTTGAAGCCCCCCCCCCCCCCCCCCCCCCCCCCCC